GCGGGGCGGCCGCGGGGCGGCCCGGCTACGAAGTGTGGGTGATTTCTTTGTTGCCCAGCCCCAAGGAGCTTGTACGATCGTATCGTCAACGTGCCGCAACGGTGCCGCAAAGGCGATATGGCGGCCATTCAGGACGTCTCGCTCGAGGACTTCGGCCACCCGTGCAAGAAGTTCTTCCGGAGCCGGGCGCACTGCAACCCGCTGTCGAACAACGACGGCTTCGAGTACCCGACGACGCCCGACGACATGGACTGGACCGACGTCTTCCCGGCGCTCGGCGACGCGCGCGCCGGCGACCGCGTGCGCCACCTCGACGTGGGCTGCGGCTTCGGCGGCCTCGCCGTCGCGTTGGGCGCTTTATCGCCGGAGCTGACCCTCGCCCTCGAGATCCGGCCCAAGGTCTGCGAGTACGTGCGCCAGCGCCTCGACGCGCTCCGGCGGCAGCACCCGGGCGCGTACGGCAACGTCGGCTGCCTGCGCCACAACGCCATGCTCTACCTGCCGAACATCATCCGGAAATACCAGCTGGCCAAGATCTTCTTCTGCTTCCCGGACCCCCACTTCAAGGCGAAGAACCACCGGCGGCGCATCGTCTCGTCCGCGCTCCTCGCCGAGTACGCGTACGCGCTACGACCGGGGGGGCTCCTCTACGCCATCACGGACGTCCGCGAGCTCCACGAGTGGCACGTCGCCAAGCTCGACGCGCACCCCTGCTTCGCGCGCGTCGACGCGCACCCCGGCGACCCCTACGTCGCCGCGATCGCCGAGTCCACCGAGGAGGGCAAGAAGGTCGCGCGGCAGGGCGGCCACATGACCGACGGCTCCAAGTACTACGCCGTCTACGAGCGGAAGCGGCCCGAGGACGTCGACCCGGCCCCCGCGCTCTGGCCCGACTCGACCTAGGGCCGGGGTCCCTCACGTCGCCGCTCTAGACCGCGCCGCCCGCGACGTCGACGCTCAGAGCGCGCGCGCCGCGGCCGCGTCCGCCCTTTCTCGCCCGCCCGCGGTCACAGGACCGCGAGCTTGGCGTCGTCGGCGAGGAGCGCCCGGGCCTTGGCGAGGAACTGGACCTGGTGGCCCCGGTTGTCGTGGAGCGGGACGATGGAGAAGAAGTGGGCCGCGACGATCATCCTGACGTCGCGGAGCTTCACGGCCGGGTACTCGTCCGCGAGCCAGGCCTCGAAGACGGCCCGGAGCCGCGCGAGGTTCGCCTCCGTCGTCGCGTCCGGCGCGACGTCGAGGATGATGAAGTCGTAGCCGCAGAGCGACTGGTAGACCTTCGATAGGTCGTAGGCGACGTCGCCGGCCGTCGTGAGCTCGTCGCCGAGCGCGCCGCGCATGTCGAGGAACTTGACCTTGCCGTCGTCCGTGAGCAGCACGTTGGAGAAGACGGGGTCGCCGTGGACGTAGGCGACGCGACCGAAGCGGGCCGACGCCTCGTAGTCGTCGAGGAACTGGAGGACGGCGTCGCGGCAGCGCGCGCCGTCGCCGGGCGCGTCGTCGAAGCGCGCGAAGAACTGGGCGTGCTTCGCGTAGCGCGCGCGGACCTTGGCGGCGTAGTTGGAGCAGAGGAGCGCGTCGTCGACGGCCGCGCGCTCGCCGCCCGGCGCCGCGGGCTCCGCGTGGAGCCGCCGGAGCGCGGCGAGGAGCGCGCGGAGCCGGCCCGGCGTGAGCGCGTTGTTCGCGACGAGGTGGGAGAAGGTCACGCCGGGCACGCGCGTGAGGAGCACGGACGACAGCTCCTGGGCCGGGTGCTCCTGGACGGACACGGCCGCCGGGAACAGGTCCTCGAGGTTCGCCGGGATCTGCCGGTACCAGTAGATCTCGCCCCGGAGCACGCTCCGCGGCCCCGTCTTCTCGACGTGGCCCTCGCCGACGCGGCGCACGGCGTTGAAGTGGCGCGGCTTCACGCCGCCGACGAGGTCGCTGTTGTCGCCGTCGCCGCAGTCGAGGTCCCAGCCGAGGCTCCGCTCGATCGCGCCGTCCAGGCTCGACGCGACGTTGCGGTCCACGTAGACGTCCGCGTGGGGCTTGCCGAAGACGACCTCGTCGTAGGGGATCCCAAAGGCCTCGAGCTGCTCGAAGGTCAGCTTCCCCACGTCCGCGAGCCTGTGCCGAAACCAACCACTGGTTTGGGGGGTCCCCACCAAACTTGAGAATTCTCTAGCTCGGTCAAATCAAAGTCGATTCGGCTGATTTTTGGACGGATCGATCGCTCTCGTCGAGTTCTCGAAGCACAGTGAAAGAGTCTGGTCCAAATCGTTCGAATACACTCACATTGAAGTCGGGTTGAAGATTTGGTTTCGGCACAGCCGCGAGCGCGCGGCCGCAGTTGCCGTCGCGGCGCCGCATCGCGCGGTCCGTCCAGACGACGACGGTGTGGCCCGCGGCGTGGAGCTCGCGCGCGATGGCCACGGTCTTCTCGATGGGCTGGGCGTCCTCGTAGGCGTCGGGCGTCGGCGGCGGCGTCACGAGCGTGCCGTCGAGGCCGAAGCAGAACCGCATCGCGCGCGCGCCTAAAACCTCGCCGCGCCGGAGCCGCGCGAGGAAGCGCCGGAGCCGCGCGGGCGACCCCAGGTTCGCGAAGTCCGTCGCCCGCACGCCGAGGAACGCGTGGTCCGGCAGCATGGACGCGATGAGGCCGCTCACGTAGTGGCGCCGCGCGCCGCTCTTCGCCGCGGCCGCGGCGCTGCCGGCCTCGCTCGCGGCGTCGCCCTCGCGCCGCGCGGCCGGCGACGCCGGCGCGCCGTCCTCGGGCGCCTCGTCCAGTAATGCCTCCAGGCCCGCGAGCGCCTGGTCCGCGGTGGCGAAGACGTACGCGCCGTTGTTCGCGAGGCGGCTGATCGCGACCTTCTCGCGGATCTCGACGATCTCCTGGGTCCGCGGGTCGAGGCGCACGTAGGAGTAGGGCGCGCTCGGGTCGTCGGCGTCGTCGTGGAAGTAGAAGGACGCGCCATAGGCGTCGGGCAGCGCGCGCGCGCCGCCCAAAACGTCGCAGAACCAGAGCGTGTCCGCGTCGAGCTGGATCGTCCGCCGGCCCCGGCTCGCCTGATCCATGGCGTTGAGGATGCAGTAGAGCGTCTCCGTCGCGCCGCGCGTCTCGAAGTCGAGGCGCACGAACGTCGCGTCGAGATCCGGGTACTCGAGGCGCACCGCGCGCTCGACGCCGTACTCGCGCTCGACGTCGCGCCGCAGGCCGAGCCAGACGCGGTCGCCGGGCCGCAAATCCAAATTATCCAGCAGCCAGAAGAGCAGGGGCCGGCCGACGATGGGCACCATGGGTTTTGGCACGGCGTAGCCCGCCTCCGTGAACTCGTTGGCGCCGAGGCCGCCCATGGGGATGATGACGTTGAGCGCCACGTGCGACGCCCGCGGCGTCGCGCTCTGGCTCACGTCGCCCTTCGACACGCGGATGGGGCAGGACCGCGGCGTGCCGAAGCCGTCCATGGCGACGCCGCGACCGCCTCGGCGGGCGCCCAACTCACCACTTTTAGCACCCCGCTAGGCAGTGCCCCGATCAACGTACATCTAGGTGCACCCATAGGAAATTAATTAATAAAGATCAATCATCGAATTCCGGCCGGCGGAGCCAGAGTCATTAGTCGTCCATAGAGGCTGTACGTCGACCGCGCGCGCGGGCGCGGTGTCGCGGCGGTCCGCGGGCTGAAATCACGGCCAAAATTGGGTTATGGTCGTATCAAAGCAAGTTTGATGATATTCGCGCGTTAATTGCACGTTTGCGATGGCTTTTTGCGCGCGGTCGCTGGTTCGGGTCGCGAAATCGCAAGATTTAACTTCAACAAAAGTGCTGAAGTTCAACAAAAATGTTGACTTTTAAATCCAGGCTATCAGAATCTGAGTTTTGATCGGTGCACTGCCGCTAGGTCGACGGGGGGTGGTTCGACGCGTTCCTGCCGACCTCCGACCCCGAACTTTTTACGTCTTATGCCAGAATCACGTGTTTTCTTTCGTTTCCAATACTCCTAGTGTGCGAAAACACTCTTTTTAAGTGACATTTTGCTCCATGACTTTTGGACGCGCGCGCGTGGTCGGCGCACGCGCCAAGCGTCGCCAATCGCGTGCTGGACGCGTCGATAGACGCCCATGGACCCCCTCTCCAAGGGGAGCACACGCTTGCAACAGGAGGCTAGCCCGTTCGCGAGAACCGCTGCAAGGCGTGCCGGGAAAAAAATTCTCAAAAAAAATATTGAAATCACCTAGTAAGGCTAAGTGGCCGTTGAAATAATTGATCACCCATCCCTCGCCATCCCTGGAACCGATGACCGCAAGGGGTTCCATTTCGAGATCGCCTGGACCTCAGGAGCGTGTAGATATATTCACTTTGCCGCCCCCCGGATCAGATCCGATAATAAATTCGGTCAAATCTAACGTGCACTAGTTAAGCTATCAGTACGACCTTACGGGGTGCTACCACTTTTTACGCGCGGCACCGTCGATGCAGCGTGAAGGCAATATGAAGGCACCACGGCTCGGCTCGCCGCTCGAGGTACCCCACGAACCCCCTGGATAAGCGCCCAGGCACCAGCTCATGCAACGTAGGACGCGTCGAACGGGCGGGCGTCGGGGGCGGGGCGGGGCGGGGCCGGCTCAGGCCGGGCGGTCCGTGGGCTTGTACCACGGGCGGTGCGTGGGCTTGGCCGACGGGCCGTAGGTCGGCGCCGCCGTCGGCGCGTCGTCGCCGCAGTGGCGCCACTCCGTCGCGCAGTCGGCGGCGCCCGGCGGGCAGCACCACCGCCGGTCCTCGCCGTCGCAGGCCGTCGCCGGGCAGCCAAATTGCGGCGCCTCGCAGCCGGGCAGCGACGGCACGGTCCACGTCTCCGCGCAGGTGCCCGGCGCGCCGTCGAGGTAGCCGCGGCGCGCACTCGGCGCGTAGGACGGGAGGGGCGTCGGCGCGTAGTCGCCGACGCAGAGGCCCGTCATGTCGTCGCGCTGCGGGAAGAGGAACGAGCCCTCGGGGCACGCGACGCAGTCCGACGCGCGCGTCGGCATGCGGTCCGCCGTGTAGCCGCAGCCGTTGCAGCTCGCGTGGCACGCGCAGACGGCCGCGGGGATCTCCTCGCGGTCCGCGTCGTAACACCGCGCCGCGCCTCTCTCCGAGAGGCCGCGCGCGGGGCCGGCGCACGCGCCCGTCGCGGCGGGGCACGCGGACCGGCCGATGGCCGCGAGCCGGCGCGCCTTGGCGGCCGGGACGCCCTTGTTTAGCTTCCTCGCGAGCTTCGAGCACGTCAGCGCCTGGCCGTCGACGCCGTTGAGGTCGAAGGTCCACGACGCGTCGTCGACGCACGCGGCGGCGGCGCCGGCGGCGAGGGCGACCAGCTTCAGCATCGCGGGGGCCTACGAGTGGGACGGCGGCTCGCCGGCGGAGGGGCGTCGCGAGGGGTCGCGTCGCCGCGGGACGCGGCCGTTCGAAGCGCGCCCGAGAGCCGCGAGCCCGGCCGCGGCCGCGAGGGCGGCCCGCCCCCCGCCGCCCGACGGGCCCGAGGGCGTCGAGCATCCCCCGGGGGAGGCCGGGGCGTCGAGCCCCGCGGCGCGCCGCGGGCCCCGGTCGCTCCGGCGGCGGACGAGCGAAAGTCGCGAAAGTCGCGCGTCCGCCGTCCCGTCGACGGACGGGCGGGAGACGCGGCATCGACGCGTCCCGTGGGTCGCGACGGACGTGGTCGACGGTTCGACGGGGGGCGGGGGTCGAGGGGCGCGGGGGGGGGCTCAACGGGACGCCGCATCGCCGACCGCGTCCAACAGATCGACCACGTGAATTCTTTCACGTCTTTGGTCTGGGTCGGCCCCAAATCACGCCGGAGCACGACCCGCAGTAGCGCTCTGAAACAGGCGTTGGCGCCGTCTACACCCGCGCGACGTGCGGCTCGCTCTCTGCAGAGCGTGACTCTCCACAAGTGCACGTGAAGCTCGCTCAATTGATCAAGGAGGGGTCCCGTAGGCGTCCGACGCAACGACTTACCGAGCCCGTTACTTACGATTTACATTCGGCCCAAACGACTCCTAACAACGTACTTTCGGACTCGACGACGCACCTGACGGCCTACCTCGGCCCGAGGCCGCGCGGGGCCCGCGCCGCCGGGCGGCGGCGTCCGAGTCGCGGAAGTTCGCGGCGTGGCTCGAGGCCTCGCCGACGCCGCGAGCCTCGTGCGGCTCGTCGAGGACGCCGCGGAGACGCGCCTGAAACGGTGGCGCGACCACAGCAGGCTCCTTCGCAAGGTCGCGGCGTTCCTCGTCGCCGAGCGGACCGGCGCCGGGACGTTCGCGCCGCGGCGTGCTCGCGCCCCGAGCTGCCGGACTCATACTACCTCTCTCTCTAAGCCGCGTGTTTTTAAAGGGGCTTTCGGCAGGTTATCGATCCTTCATCCCAGTAGGCGTCCCAGTCCTTTACTGGCTTCACCGCACGCTCCCCAGCTTTAGCCCGGGTCCTCTCTCTCTAGCGCATTAGGCGACCTAGCCCGCCTACGCGCAGCCTTGGGCTGGCGGGGAATTGGGGGGCCCCTAAAGCCGCACCGGACCTCGGGGAGACTCCTCGGAGGGAGCGGGATCGTCCCTGTTGCAGGGGCCCAGTCGTCCCTGCGCGCGGAGCTTGGCTCCTGTCGCCGAGCGCTTGGCGCCGGCTACGCGCTCGGAGGCCGCGAGTCCCGGACGGGGGAGCATATACCAGTCGGGGGCCGGCTGCTAGGACCGACGTCCGACTGGAATTTCTCGCACAGGGTGTTTTCTAGAGCGGGCCCAGCCTCCTCGCTGACCTCGAGTCGACGCCAGGCGGTGTAGCGATAGATTAAAGTAGGTTTTGAGCTCGACATGACGAGCGGCCCTCCTACATCCGCGACGATGCGCCTCGTCGCGTGGCTCGTCCTTGCTATGGGCAATTCAAAGCCAGAACAATGCCGAAAGACGCCCAGTTTCTATGGCGCCGGACCGCACGTTTTTTACCTGAGTGATACGCGGACGCCGACGAAGGCCATCGAGCTCTGCGTGCCTCAGAAGAACGGAAACCGGAACTGGGGCGGCTTCGCCTACTACGCGCGACATCACACCCCCCCGAAGAACGCGGAGAAGGTGTTTCACGCAATGTTACACGAACCGCTTTTTGATGTCGGCGAGAATCCGCACGGGAAACTGAGGGGGAGGGTAAAAAAATATCCTCCCAACGAAAAGCACGGCTACGCGGACGTCTACATACTCGCGCGGAACCCCTACGCGCGCGTCCTCTCCCAGTTCCTGAACCACAAGGCCGACGGGTGCGTCGACTCGTCGCGCAGGCAAGGTTGCGACGGGACGCGCCCCGAGCCGACGCCCCAGTACTTCGAGCGCTACGTGTCGGACTCGATGAAGGAGCGGGACGCGACGACGACCTGCAAGAGGGATCACCACCTCTGCAGCCAGACCCTCATCTGCGCGCCGCGATGCGTCGAGGGCCCCACGATCCTCAAGCTCGAGCGGCAGGAGGCGTGGTGGGACGGCTTCGTGAACGCGACGGGCGTCGACCGCTCGGGCCTCGTCGGCGAGTCGTGGCGCGGCTTCTCCGGCGCGCCGGCCTTCTACGAGCCGCCGTCGGCAAAGGGCCGCGCGACGGCCGTCGGCCACGTCCACGCGACGAACGCGACCGCGCGCCTCGCGGAGCTCTACACGCCCGAAGCCGCGGCGCTCGTCACGGCGACGTACGCGGACGACTTCGCCGCCTTCGGCTACTGCGCGGGCTACGCCTGCATCGCGCGGGGCCAGCTCGACTAGGGCGGCGCGCCCGAGGCGCGCGGCGCGCCGGCGAGGACGAGCGCGGCTGGACGGCGCCGCGCGCGAGCCGGCATGTCGCCCGGCGCCGCACACGGGCGCATCCGTCGCCCGCGGGCGACGCCTCGGGCGTTAAATTTACTTCCTGGTGAGGACTCGTTGAGCTTTGCGTTCAAAGGGGTGGCTTATCCAGGGGGGTTCGTGGGGTACCTTGGCGAGCCGAGCCAGGTGGCGGCCGGAGGCCGCCCCCTAGCGTTCAAACATGGCCGTCTCGGCCGAGGGTGCGCCGGCCGCGGCGCCGCCGGGCAGCGCCTCCCCGCCCGCCGGCCTCTACGACCGCCTCTGCGCGAAGCACGCGCCGGACGCCACGACGACGCGCATCGTCATCGCGGCCGCCACGTCGAAGCTCTTCCATCTCGCCTACGAGGCGCTCCACGAGGCCGCGACGTCCCCGCCGCCCATCGGCGCCTGCGCGGAGACGCCGGCGACCTGGCGCGTCGTCGGCCGCCCCGCGCACGTCCAGCGGCACCTCGCCGCCGCCTGCGACGCGGCGCCGTGCCTCGTCGTCGTCGCGGTCGATGCGGCCGCGGAGCCGCGCGCGGCCGCGGCCGACTGGCTCGACGCGGTCGACGCGCGGCGGGCCGCGGGGGCGGGCGCCTGCGTCGTCGCCTTCGGCGACGGCGACGCGGGCTGCGGCCCCCTGGGGCGGCTCTGCCTCGACCGGGGCGTGGGCCTCGCGGTCCTGCGGCGCTCCGGCGGCGCCGGGACGGCCGCGCGGGCCGCGTGGCGGGCCGCGGCCCGCGGCGGCGCCGGGGCGCCGGAGTCCGTGCGGGACGGCGGCGAGCACTTCTTCGCGCCCGGCGACGCCGCCGCGGCCGCGGTCGGCGCGGACGACGCGCGCGACGGCACCGGCGGCGGCCGCGCGGCGGCACCGGCGCCGCGCGCGGACGGCGCGCTCCCGGGCGAGGGCGCCTGGCTCGCCTCCCTCGAGGCCCTGAGCGGCGCCGACGCGCCGGCGGCCGCCGCGGCGCCGTCGACGCCGGCCGCGCGCGCCGCGCGCGACGCGGCGGCGACGCCCGTCGCGTCGGACTCGAAGAACGTCCGCTCC